GTTTGGTTTATTTTGTTTTCGGCATATCAACCTCAATGGTTTATTTAATGCCGACAACATTTTTAGGATAGATTCGTATGAATAAAATATGTATTCTTTGGTTTAGATTGGTTTGGTTTATTTTGTTTTTCGGCATATCAACCTCAATGGGTTATTCAATGCCGACAACATTTTTAGGATAGATTCGTATGAATAAAATATGTATTCTTTGGTTTAGATTGGTTTGGTTTATTTTGTTTTTCGGCATATCAACCTCAATGGTTTATTTAATGCCGACAACATTTTAGGATAGATTTTGAATTTTTTATTCTTTGGTTTAGATTGGTTTGGTTTATTTTGGCATATCAACCTCAATGGGTTATTTAATGCCGACAACATTTTTAGGATAATTCATATGAATAGAATATGTATTCTTTGGCCGACAACCTCATTTTGCAAACAACATTTTTAGGATAGATTCATTATGAATAGGATATGTATTCTTTGGTTTAGATTGGTTTGGTTTATTTTGTTTTACGGCATATCAACCTCCATGGGTTATTTAATGCCGACAACATTTTTAGGATAGATTCGTATGAATAGAATATGTATTCTTTGGTTTAGATTGGTTTGGTTTATTTTGTTTTACGGCATATCAACCTCAATGGGTTATTTAATGCCGACAACATTTATTGGATAGATTCGTATGAATAGAATATGTATTCTTTGGTTTAGATTGGTTTGGTTTATTTTGTTTAACGGCCTATCAATCTTAATGGGTTATTTAATGACAACATTTATTGGATAGACATTGAATAGAATTGTATTCTTTGGTTTAGATTGGTTTGGTTTATTTTTTTTACGGCATATCCAAGTTGTTTAATGACGACAACATTTTTATTGCTGGTAATATTTTTTTTCCAAAAATGTATTGTTAATATTTTTTTTTCAAAAATGTATTTTTGATAATAGTTTTTTCTTCAAAAATGTATTTCTGGTATTAGAAACCATTTTTACACTTTCATAGTATTTTGACCCCAGTTTGGGGCTTAACTATTTACCCATAGCTGGGACACTAACAGATGCTACCACCCCGGATCAGGGTGAAGCTGGGAACACCAGCTATTAAGAGGTTGTTCCACGCTCCTGAAAATCTGATCAAAGGCCTTGCTGTTGGACCTAGTTTATCGTCTTACCCAGGACGCGGATGTAGTTTATCGTCTTACCCAGGACGCGGATGTAGTTTATCGTCTTACCCAGGACGTGGTAGATGGGTCTGATTCTTGGCACTAAACACATTTGTATTATCGTAATATTCATAATTACAGGATTTTTTTTCTATGGTAGATAAGGGGGAAATCATGAAACTCCGAGGCGACCACTGATAATTATTATGAACTTAAAATTACTTCTGATACAATAATTATTGCTTTAGATAATTACGGGGCTCTTTATTGTGTTATGGCTCGCTCAACACAAAATAAGATGAAACAGATTCATAGAAATTAAAGTTGAAGAAAAAGATTACATCTAATACCAAAAAGTGGGCTTTATTTTACACTAGCAGCATGGGCCGGCGTTGCCCGTGTTTAATTCAAAAATCATACGACTCATACAGCCATCGCTATCACTTGACTTAAAATATTTTTGCCCTTCCTTGCCTTTAAAGGAGTGCCCTTTGCCGTGCTGATGTTGCTACATGCCTTACTTCTTGCCATCTCACACTGCGAATTTTTTCTAAGCTCTATACTAAACATTAAATCTGTTACGAAAAAAGAACTAAACAAAATGAACACAAAACGATCAGCTTTAAAAAAAGGAGTCGTAACTGGAAAAACCGAATGAAAAAAGAATGTTAACAACGAATACTTTTTCACACCCAAACCAGTTCTGCGGAATCAGAATCAATGTTGAGTTTAAGCAAGCGAATGAGCCAATTGGAGTAAAGTGCCATGCAGATTTAGATTTTTCACACTTGTGACGAATGCAGCTGTCGATATTTTTTGTGTGCTAGCATGCTAGATAACATTCGTGTCAGTCATCTGTTGGCTCTCACGCTGGCCAATAGAATCTTCCTGCCTATTCGTGGCAGCCAGCTATTGGCTCTCACTCTGGCCAGTAGAAAATGGCCGCAAACTACATGAAAACTGCCGAAGAAGCATAAAAAAAACGATTATTTCCACTATCGATGGGAGTTGGGAAATGCAAAATCGGTCTTTGCCTTGACGCTAACGTGGAGCATGTGCATGTAAATTTTGGTGCAAATCCGTCGAAAATTGCAGCCGTGCATCCGTTACAAACACACACACACATACTGCCTTTTATAGATAGAGATATAATACAATATTTTTTTAATAATGGGGCCCAGGTTTAAACAATATAGATAGGTCATGCTAACACGTTACTAAGCGTACGAGAGCCCAGAAAGTAGTTGGGTTAATATGAGAGAGTGGGAAAAAGAAATCCAATTACAGTTAAAATTAAGGTGACGAATAAGAATTCGTCGCTAGTCAAAGAATCATATTGTTTTCTTCTTAGAAAAATATATATTCACATATACATATAAAATAAAGGAGTTTGGTCAATAATATCAAATAAAAAGGGTGAAGTAGTTACTGATAGCCTTTTCTTTTCGAGGACTGTAGGAATTTAGATTCTTTTGGTCGGATCTTTGTTCTTGAATCAAAAGCACCGGAGTCGACCTCAATCGTCGTGGCTGTAGGTTCAGAAGACAACGATATTTATTGTTCGTAAATTGTACAAATACGGCACAAGGTCAAAAAGGGGGAATGGGGAAAAGGATGGTCATCAACTGTCTTAAAATTAAACTTAGCTAGCCACAAACATTGAGCCAAATATACAAACAATATTCCTTTCACCAAAACAACGCATTCTTACTTGCCATTCTTACCTCATCCACCATAATGCCTCAGAGACTCTATGAAATCCTGACTAGTCCCCATATTTACAATTCTGTGGTGGGGGGAGAATAAAAATAACAATTTAAAAGTCTAAAAACACCAATGAGTATTTAAATATGAGTACAAAACTATATACAAAAATTTTGTTGGTAGTAAAACCCTCCATAGTCATAATCGTGGCAGAAACATCAGTTAACTGAACGAAAACAATGCGGGATTTTAAAAATATAAAACAGGAAGCAAACTGGTTAGTTGGTACGAACCCCTGTTTATATATGTTTTTTTAGACCCTCTAGAACCCAGTTGAAGTTTCTAGAGACTTCTAGAAAGTTCCATTCTATTATTATGAAATCTAAAGTGTTTGGTGAATGGGAGCTTTTCGTAAGGTAAAAAGGGCATCTAGTAGCTACAGATTTAAGTCATCATTTTAAGTTAGATTTTGTATTTTTCTGTAAGTGTAAACAAAATGGGGCCTCGTAACAATTGAAAGAAGTTTTGTTCATCTTCATAAACGTTGAATTATATAATTTTGAACCTTTCAGAAATACATGCTGCATCAGAAAACGTCATTTTATTTTATTTTTTATTTTTTGGAGGGGAGTTCCTGATTAATTGTACATTTTTTTCTCCAGGTTATCAGTGCGGTGAGAAAAGTTGAAGCGGTCTCCTGATACAAGATGGAGTGCTCCGTGCCATGCTGTTCACATTGTAAAAACGAAGTTAGATGACAAAGCTATAATTGTTAGAGGTTATGGCAAGTGATATTTCAGTATTAGTCGACACAAGAAGCGACGCTGTGGCGGACTTCCACCACATTTATTTAATTTTGATTAGGAAACCAAACTGATGTGAAGAAAGGACAAGTCAAAGGTATCATTATATATGAATATTGTATTCAACAGTGTATACAATAAAGAATGTGTAAAAAAAAGCATGCAATGAGTAAAAAAAGAGTTGTCTCTCTTCAACTATCAATTGTTCCAAAGTTCACTGAAAGAAATAAGGTTGTAATAGTTTCTGGTAATAAATGTTTTCAATAGTTTTGCTGTGTAAGGAAAAATATTGTGTGAGTATAGGGAATATTCAGCATGTGAGTGGTGGTGTGAATGAGAAGATTGGCGCATGGTTTCAACTTTCGTGGGTTCCTGTGGCAGTTGAAGGTCTCACTGGTGTGTCTGCTCTTTTTTCTTACTTTTATAGGTGATAATTGGATCAAGAGTGCTGTGCGGGAAAAATCACTCGTCACGTGCAGAGAATCCGAATGACCAATCAGTGAATGAGCTTTGGGGAGATTTCTGGGAGCCTATTAGAAAAAAAAGTGCACAAAATCTACTATAGGAAAATATAGCGATTTCAAAATTGTCGCATAAGACAGTAGCGTTGATTTCTATCTGATGAATGATTGTTATTGAAATTTGAATTTGATGATCGCTATAACGCCATCTGCTTGCTGCACAACATGCAAACTTTCAACTTTCTAACTAAACTGCCATTCTGGGACGACGTCCTGACTTCCATCCACCCGAGAATGAACGTCAATGAAGCTCTAGCTGACAGCCAAAGTCTGCAACAAGCTGTTATGAATGAACGGGATTATCTCTGTAAATATTCAATTATAAAAGGCGAGAGAAAATGCTTAGAATTAGGTATTGACGTTGGTCAACAAAGAAGAGGGCGTCGTAAAAATGAATGGCTGGAGAAAAGACGAAAGACAGCCCAATAAATGTGAGAGAAAAAATGGATGTTACCTTGAAGGCAGTACTAGACAGATTGAATACAAAACACAAAGATCGATTTACAAGATCGAGTCAGTTACGTGAGCAATTTGGGTTTCTCTTGGATATTGAAAGCCTCGTAGATTTGTACGAAGACACGGTAGAAAATGCAAAGTAGTTACTGCAGTATAACGAGGATGATTTTGATCGAACAGAACTCGGTTGTAAAATTACAGACAGCCGAATGTCAATACAAAAAAAAAAAAAGAAAAGAAAAGACAGTGCCTTCGTTAAACCAAAAAAAAAAACCCAGTCGACCTTTTCAACTTCACAATGTCTTACGAAGATGTTGTGTTCGCCAATTTACAAATAACATTTCGTATACCTGTTGGCTGTTGCCGTCTTTGTGTCGTCCTGTGAATCCTCTTTCATCAAACTGGGTGAGGAATGCCTAAAGTATTTAGCTTTATTAAGCATCGAAAATGAAGAATTTGGACATATAAATGGGTTTGTCGATATCTCTGTGATAAGGTATTATGATTACTTGCATTATTTACATTATTCGGACTGTTATCCTCATCTTCATTGCCATATTCACAACGTTTCGGCCTCTATATCTCTGAGATGAAGTATTATGATTACTGCCATATTCACAACGTTTCGGCCGTTGTACGCTCCGGCCTTTTTCAGGTGATTAGATCTCTGAGATGAGGTATTATGATTAATTGCATTATTTTACATTATTCGGACTGTTATCCTCATCTTCATTACCATATTCACAACGTTTCGGCCATTGTACTCTCCGGACTTCTTTAGGTGATTAGATCTCTGAGATGAGGTATTATGATTACTTGCATTATTTACATTATTAGGACTGTTATCCTAATCTTCATTGTCATATTCACAACGTTTCAGCCGTTGTACGCTCCGGCCTTTATGTCTATGTCTCTCTGTTTCACGTGCATTTGATTTGTCCAATAAAGTTAATATAATTTATAGCAATTCTTATTCAAGGAGAGACAACACGTCCCTTCGAATCTCTATGACATTAACGGACTCCATGCCTAAATATTACTTTTTATATGTAAGTATATAATAATTCTAGTGTTTCTATGTAGAGTTCAGATTGTTTTTTTTTTTTTTTTTTTTTTTTTTTTACTAATGTTCACTCAATCCAGGGCCCAAGAGCCACTCAAGGTAGAAGGTTACTGTGTGGACTTATATTAGCGTAGAACAGAACAAACGTTAAGCGTAGAGAGCTTAAGCAGACTTTAGAAGGAACCGTAAACGCTATCCTAAACAGGAAACAAGGGATAAACATAGACGTTTAGAATTTAAGCACAGTAATCGAGTGGCGTCGAGATCTCATCAATTTAGAATTGAGTTGGCTAGATATAGCAGTGAGTTCTATACTAACAGTTTTCTTTCTCGCACGTCTTGCTTGGGGAAGTCAATTCCGGCTTAATGCTTTCAAACCAGCTTTAATCTGCAAACATTTAAATACAATGTCAATCGCTATCTACTGTCCACATGATTTCTCTTTTATCTCCCTGCTGATTATTAATGTCTCTGTTCCTAATTCTTTTATACCCAGTAACGCCTAGTATCATAGTGGCTTTCTGTTTTGCATGGCATGATACCGATTAATATATATATATATATTATGAAATGGACAAAGACCGACAATTATTTTAAGAGATTTTTATGTTTATACATTCTTTCTTTGTATCTATGTATAAACATAAAAATGTCTTAAATAATTTCGGACTTTGTACATTACATAATGTGTGACGTCATTTATTTACATTTGGTCATGAATGTACGTGACAGGATCATGGAAGATTGTTGTTTAAAGACAGTAAAATAGACCTTGCTAACCGAACGCTCCTCTGTGGCCAAATCGGTTAAAGGCACGTCAGGCTATATGACGGTTCCACATCGGATACAGGTTCGATTTCTGTCGGAAGACGAATGTTTTCTATGAAAATTTCTCGGTCACTCAGGCCGGTAAATGTTGTTTAATACTGTTTATTAAAAGCAGAGCATTTACTTAAATATTATTTGTATCTATAAAAAGAATCTATAAACATAAAAATGTCTTAAAAATAATTGTCGGACTTTGTGCATTTCATAATGTGTGACGTCATTTGTTTACATTTGGATACGCCATGAGCAGATATGAATGTACGTGAGAGATTCATGGAAGATTGAAGTTTAAAGACAGTAAAATCGACCTTGCTGACCGAATTCTTCTCTGTGGCCAAATCGGTTAATGGAACGTCTGGCTATATGACGGTTCCGTATAGGATGCAGGTTCGAATCCTGTCGGAAGACGAATATTTGCTATGAAAATTTCTCGGATATTCAGGCCGGTAAATGTTGTTTAATACTGTTTATTAAAAACAGAGCATTTACTTAAATATTTGTATCTATAAAAAGAGTATATAAAGATGTCTTAATATATATACATATATATTTAAATAAGTTTTTGTAGTACAAAATTTAAGGATAGCTAGAAATAAGTATAATTTATATGGCATTTTAATGTATATTTTAAAAGCTAAAAAAACCGGATTCGTCCCAGCCTTATCAAGTTTATTTCTGGGATATAAAAAATATAAACGTGTAAATTTAATTGATATTAATGATAACCAATGGGGGGGGGAATGTGAATTTCAAGAAAACTAGAGTCCAATAATATTCAGACCCAGTAAGCATTGCCTCTGTTTATAGATGGAAGGCCCACGGGATCTGATATACAAGGTCTCGAGAACCTTGAGGTGATATGAGGAGTGGGACCTCGATAAAATCGAAAAACGGCCCCTCCCCTAAAATCAAAGACACAATTCCTACTATTTATAACATGCTCAGCAATAGAAGAGCCAGAAGTATTAATTAGTTGGCTTTTTTTGACATCCGTATTTAAAATCCTTTTAAGTGTTGCTTTATTCTCAGATCCAAACGTTGAAACGTCCTTCCTATGTAGTCGAGGCCACAACTACACTTATATTTATAAATCACTGAATTAACATGATAGGGGGAAGGACATCCTTACGAATGGATGAGAAAATAGGATGGGTAACAAATATTACCCGAACATTAGTCGAAAAATAACAGCTATTAATCGAACGCGAAATCCGTCTAGCTAAAGACTCACCATCTGAACCAATAAAGGGATGGTGCAAATAAACAGGACATTTTTTTAACAAAATGCGGCTTAACCCTATGAAATTTATTGATGACATCATGGATAACAGAATCCAAATCGTCCAAAGGATATCCATTTTTAGAAAGTGTCATCTTAATAAAATTAATTTCACCGCAGAGAAAGCTATCAGGACAAACCATAAGCATCCTATAAATTAGGGTCTTAATTAAATTAACTTTTCGTTGTCTGGGACAAAAAGAGTCCCAACGTGTATAAAGTCCCGAAAAAATAGCCTTCTGAAATACAGAAGTCGAAAACTTGTCACTAATCCTATGAACAAGAACATCCAAAAGGGAAAGAGAAGAATTGTCTCCTTTTCTACGGAAAACATAAGAAATAGATGGGCAGACATCTTAGACATCTTTCATTAAATACGGCAGACAACGAAATGTTTTTATGCTAACAATTTCTTTTCTCATACCTCTCACTTTTAATGTTTCTATGCGGGATTCAGACGATAATAATTTTTGTTAATACAGCACCCAAGAGCCACTCAAGATAGAAGTTTACTGTGTGGACTTATATTAACGTAGGAAAGGAAAAGTTTTAAAAGTTCTGTGTATGACGATAAACTACATCCAGCAGCATCAGGAGGAGGTTTTGAGGAGCGTGGAACCACCTCTTAATTGCTGGTGCTCCCAGGTCCGCCCTGACCAGAGGTGGTATAACCTGTTAAGATCCCAGCTATGAGCAAATAGTTAACCTCCAAATGGGCGTCAAAACACTATGAAATAAATTTTTGAAGAAAAATTATTACCAGCAATCCATTTTTAAAAAATTATTAACAGCAATACATTTTTTAAGAAAAATAAAAAAATTACTAGCAATAAAAATCTTATCGGCTTTAAATAACTTATTGTGGTTGAAATGCCGTAAAATAAAACAAACAAACCAGCAATATATTTTTGAAGGAAAAACAAATATTGCCAGCTATAAAAAATCTTCTCGGCATTAAAAACCCATTGAGGTTTTGATATACCGTAAAACAAACCAAACCAAATCAAACAAAACAAACGTTAAGCGTAGAGAGCTGAAGCAAACTTTAGAAGTAACCGGAAACCCAATCCTAAACAGAAAACAAGTGATAAACATAGATTTTTGAAGTTATTCACGGAGATCTCCGTAATTTATAGTTGAGTTGGCTAGATAGAACCGTAAGTTCTATGCTAACAGTTTCTTTTCTCGCTTGTGAAACTCCCTTCGGGCTCCATGCTTTCAAGCCAACTTTGATCTGCAATGTTATTCCCATCTACTGTTCTTTGGATTACACTTTTCTCTTTTTGCACATCATTAATGTTTGTGTTCTTAATGCTTTCATACCCAGAACACCTAGTGTCTTACTGGGTATTCTGTGTTGCAAGGATGATACCGATATATATATATATATATATATATATATATATATATATATATATATATATATATAGTCGACTCTCCCGTCGATTTCGACGTATGAGGGTCAAGCAGATCAGTTTCCAGGAAACTGACAGCCCGACACCGGCACATGAGAACTGATTATAGTGGTGAAGGCCCCGTGCAGGACCATCCACACTTATTGAAGGGACGAATACAGAGACCTGGTGCACTAAGTGCCACAAGCTTTCCAAACGACCCTCCGCAGGTTTTGAATTCAGAGTTGCCATCCAAGGCTATAGAATCCAGTCTGTCCTGCTATTTTACCCATAGCTGGAGGATGAAGAAAAGGATTCATACCTTTCCCAAAGCATATATATATAAGGCAGGATGTGTTTGTGTGTGTGTAACGAATGCACGGCCGCAATTTTCGACGGATTTGCACCAAAATTTACCTGCAAATGTACCAAGTTAGCAGGAAGGCCAAGACCGACTTTGCATTTCCCAACTCCCATCGATAGTGGAAATAATCGAGTTTTTCCTGCTTCTACATCAGTTTCCATGAAGTTTGCGGCCATTTTGTACTGGCCAGAGTGAGAGCCTATAGCTGGCTGCCACAAATAGGCAGGAAGATTCTATTGGTCAGCATGTGAGCCAACAGCTGACTGACACGAATGTTAAATAGCAAGTGGGGAAAATTTAAATCTGCATGGCACTTTACTCCAGTTGGCTCATTCGATTGCTTAAACTCAACGTTGATTCTGATTCCGCAGAACTGGGTTGGGTGTGAAAAAGTATTTGTTGTTAACATTCTTTTTTCATTCGGTTTTTCCAGTTACGAGTCCTTTTTTTAAAGCTGATCGTTTTGTGTTCATTTTGTTTAGTTCTTTTTTCATAACAGATTTAATGTTTAGTATAGAGCTTTGAAAAAATTCGCAGTGTGAAATAGGCAAGAAGTAAGGCATGTAGCAATATCAGCACGGCAAAGGGCACTCCTTTAAAGGCAAGGAAGGGCAAAAATATTTTAAGTCAAGTAATAGCGATGGCTGTATGAGTCATATGATTTATGAATCAAGCACGGGCAACGCCGGGCCATGCTGCTAGTATATATATATATATATATGTAAAAATTTCATATATAACTGGAATATACCGGTAAAAGAACAATATGGATACATAAAAAAAGAAAACTAACCTTAGCGACGCGTTTCGTTCTCTGATGGGCTTTATCAAAAGCAAATACATTTGCCTTGATATAGTTCATCAAAGGACGGAGCGTGTCGACTAAGATAAGTTTTTTTGTCTTTATATATATATATATATATATATATATATATATATATATACTGTGTAACGAATTATTAACGAGTTGACAATTTTCCATTTTGTCCGAAAAGTATAGTTGCAGTTCCTTTCAAGGTACGTGAAGGGATACTAGAATTTTAAATTAAATTTTCTGTCATAAATTTTTTTTTTCTGATACACACAAAATTTTATATATATATACATATATATATATATATATATATATATATATATATATATATATATATATATATATATGTGTAACGAATTATTAGCGGGGTGACAATTTCCCCTTTGTCCAAGTACCTTCAACAGATATATTTCTTTGAACCTCGGCCAATTCTCCAGACTTAAACCCAATCGAAAACTTGTTGGGAATTCTGAAGTTTATGAGAATGTACGCCAATTTAGAAACAAGGAGGACTTGTGATATGCAATAATGAATGTATCACATGGAATTACATCAGTGGAGATCCAGCTCCATGTATCATACCCTTAACCATGTCATTTCAAGAAAAGGATCACATACCCTTTATTAACTGGCTCCACTATTGTTTTTTAAACTTTATGTACTTGTTGATTTCTATTTATTTATTGCTCTTGTGTGTTTCCATAACAATCTGTATATGAAGTAATTAAAGAGTTATTTTCTTGTTTACATGAGTTTTAATTACACTTCTCTAATAATTTGGAACAGTTATAATTTAAGTAAATTTGGTTAATGACCATAGTTCCTGTGTATTTTTTGCGGAACTTCACACTTTTTACAAAGGTATGTGCATATATCTGTTGCCATCATTCCTTGACAAATTCGTTAAATTTCAACGTGTAGTTCTTGGACAACAGGAAAATTTGCTACCTCGCTAATAATTCGTTACACAGTATATATATATATATATATATATATATATATATATATATATATATATATATATATATATGGAGATATGTCAGAACAATCTCAGGAAATTTAAGACAAAAAAAATTAATTTAAAACTTTAGTATCTCCTCTCCTCTATATATATACGAAGACGAAAAAAATGTTTCCACTTTGTCATAGAATTTCCCAAAATTCAGTTCTAGAAACTCTACAAACTTTTGTTGTGATCCAACGATTTGGCTTACGGTGACGTCTCGTTGAAACACTGGCTCCCGTACGATTCTCCGAAGTTAAGCTACGTCAAGCTTGGTCATTACCGAGATGGGTGACCGCATGGGTAATACCAGGTACTGTAAGTTTGGATGTGCGGGTGGTGTAATAGATAATGTCTCGAAATTGTTGAGCAGAGTTCCAATTCCAGTTGGGTTCGTTATATTCACTTACGCGTAAATATTCTTGAATCCATATTTTCTCCCATATATGGGTTAATTAGTAACACATGTTTCATTAAAACAATTATTATATAAGATTTTCATACAAAATATTTAGATTTCGGCATTAAATAACCCATAGAGGTGTTGATATGCCGCTAAACAAAGACAACCAACCAAACCAATCAAAATATTTAGATTTCGGCATTAAATAACCCATAGAGGTGTTGATATGCCGCTAAACAAAGACAAACAACCAAAGCAATCAAAATATTTAGATTTTACCCTTAAATAACCCATCGAGGTTTTGATATGCCCTAAACAAAAACAACCATCCAAACCAATCACTATATTTAGATTTCGGCATTAAATAACCCATAAAGGTGTTGATATGTCGCTTAGCAAGATCAACCAATCAAAAAATTTAGATTTTGGTATTAAATAACCCATATAGGTGTTGTTATGTCGCTAAAAAAGAAGACAAAACAAAACAAAAACACCCATCCAACCAACCTAAATGTTTTTCGTAGATTATTTTAAAAGACTCTGACATGACAACTATTTAATAATTTTAAAATTGTTTCGTGTCACTCTTTAGATAATATTTACTTACTGAGTTAATCAGGGCGTATCAAAAATGTATCTGAACTGGAACCCTAGTAACTGGTGTTGTTGGTCAACAGACAAAGATTTTCATCAAGTCCATTTCTAAATGAAAATTGCAGAGACATATAAACACATTATGAGGGAGTGTCAAGCCAACAAATAGTGTTGTGCAAACGAAACTAAGAAGTCACTCAATGCCGCGTGTTCGATCCTCATTGGGTGAATAACACACGTGACCAAACTCCAGAATTAATAAAATGATAGAATTAGTGGAAGGAAGATGATGTTATGTAAGTATCAATTACGAGATCGATATTTATTTGTAATATTTATAAAATGTGGCACAAGGCCAAAGTGAGGAGTCGGAAAAAAGGACGGTCTTCTTCTGTCTTGACTTTAAACTTAGCTAGCCAAAAAATTCTTAAATGTGGCAGAAACATCAGTTCAACTGGACGAAAATCAATGTGGGACTTTAATAATATAAAACATTTATTCATCCCAAACACTCACGCAAACACACACTTATTCAGACACAACAACAAAAGGTGCTTCGTATCCACCAGAGAACTGACATCACTGAACACCTAATGAGAGGGCGGATATGGGGAATTAAACTTAAAAAAAAATAGGTACAGAAATGAAAGAGGTCAATTATGAGAGCAATATTTATTCTGTTATATACAGAAATGTGGCACAAGGCCAAAAATGGCGATTGGGGGAAAGGACGGTCTTCTTCTGTCTTAACGATAACTTAGCTAGCCAATCATACAAACAATATTCCTTACACCAAAACAACACATTCATACGTAGCTTTCTTACCACATCCACCATAATACCTCTTTGTCTCTATGAAAACACTAACTAGTCCCCATGTTTACAATTCATTGTCTGTGGGGGGATTCAAACAACAATTCTAAAATCTATCCCCAATGAGTATTTACAAATATGAATGCAAAACTATTTACAAGTTAATTTTCCAAGCACAGGTTAGATGTGACACAAGGCCAAAATTACGGGGGCAACCAGTGAGAATCGAACTCAATACTCAGTCGTAATTGTTCTAGCGAGACAAGTTTGCTAACCATTACGCCACTTCGAGGTGCCCAATCCAGTTATGAGAGCACGCCCGAGTAATTACTATGAAAATATTTACAGCAAAATACATATCGAAGCTAAGTTAAGGCGGAGGGAAAGTGAATGAAACCGAGATGCCAGTTTAAGACCAATAACATTGCAGATTTTTCTTCGTATTTTAGGAAGAATCTTTAAATATATCCTTTGGAAACTGAATGAAACATGCACTTTAGTTTCCTTTCTTCCGCCATAGTTTTAGACCCACTAGAGTGACAGGGTGTAATCGATTTCCATTTTTTTCTGAGAACGCTTGGTAAACAAGTATAGCTGAAATTTTCATGTCTCTTAATAATTTGCTTAGCTTTCGGAATACATCTTTCTCTATTACAAACTTACTCAGCGAAACTGCCTACAATTGTTGTTCTAATGCTCTTTCTTCTTTTTAAGCAAAGACGTTGTATCCTGCTTTTGAGTTCGTCTTTAATTACTGTTTTTTTTATTTCGTTTCTCAGTCGGATTTTCCCGCTTTCTTCTTATCAACTAAACTTTCTCTCACGCACCTGAAGCAAGATTAGTTTAATAATATAACGACCATCAAAGTAAGCAGGATCTTAACACACTATCAGATACTTTATACCCTTGCCACACCCACCTGTTTATCTATCTATCTAACTATCTATATACATTACTGTACAAATTAATTGAAACAACCGCTTTAGTTTCCTTTCTTTCACCATACGGTCAGTTTTAGATCCACTGGAGAGACAGGGTATAATCGATTTTTATTTTTTCCACACATTAGGTTATTTGCTGTGGTGTGCAGTAATATGAATCTATTTTCGGGATGTATGATGAAATTTGTTTGGCCTTGAAAAATACTTTGTCATCCGTGATTGCATCATTTTCATCACAGCCAGACATTAATGTCTCGACTTTCGATTAGTTGTCCTCCGGCCATTGTCTGCGATGGACATTACTCCAAGGACGCATACAAAAATTTGTAACGCTGCACAAACACACTGGCAAGATTTATCAGTGAGCAAATCAAAGTTCTAGACTGTCCCAGAAACTCTCCTGATTTAAATCCAATCGAGAATCTGTGGTCAATCTGCAAGGAACAAATTCGTGGAATGGACATACAATGTTTAGTCACTGGGTCATATTTTATTGGAAAAATACGAAAAAAGTAAATAATAACGGATTTATTCGTTTTGTTTCAATTAATTTGCACAAGTTTGTACATATCAGAAGCACCAGATAAAATATGTATATTTAATTCATACGACAAAGACAGACGACACGATCCAAAGTTAAGAAATTATATTAAATTTATTGAAAATTTTCTCAGAGTTAACGTGTAGAAAAAGACAATATTTATAAATGTAAAAGACAATAGGAAAACTGTAATGGTAGCCGACACGTTTTGTCCGATGTGGACTTTTTCAAGGCGAAACGAAATGAATTTATGAAACAAAGTAACTAATAATAACTAAACAAAATGTCCTTAGAATTTAGAGAACGCTATTTTCATACTGTTAACTGAAATCACGTCAATTGCTGCCGCGTCTGGAGATATCCAGAACAAATTATACCATCTAAATAATATTAAATAGTCACAGACACTTCCAAAACCATTATGGATATACTCAGATCCTTAAACACTAATAGCAATAATATTTCTGAAGCAGGCATTTATAAAATAAATTGCCCAAACTGTTCCTCCCAATATATTGGAGAAACAAGTAGAAATTTAAAAAAACGCATTTATGAGCACAAAAGAGACCTCACAAAAAACAACTTAGCTAATGCACTAGTCATACATAGAAATAAATTCAACCATAATTTTGATTTTAAAAATGCTACACTCATAAAAAAGAAAATAACTCACTCAGAAGGAAAATCCTTAAGAGTGCCGCCATTGAATATTATCCAAATATTAATCTACACCCAGGCCTTTTCCCTATTTCACCTTCAAGAGAATTACTGCTCTCCCAAACAAATGTACACAACAGTATCAAGAAATCAAAAGAAAATGGTTGAATCCGTCAACACAGCAATAAAAACAATATCTTCACACATGACAGTAATTGATGTAATTTTCAGTTAACGGTATGAAAATAGCGTTCTCTAAATTCTTCCAGTTGCTAAGGACATTTTGTTTTGTTATTATTAGTTACTTTGTGCAATAAATTCATTTCCTTTGTTGCCTTAAGAAAGTCCACATTGAACGAAAAGCGTCGGCAACTATGACAGTTTTCCTATTGTCTTTTACATTTATAAAAATTAAATTTATTTTTATCACGGAAAAAAGGCGAATAAATTACATACATTAAGTGCATTTGGAACCAAATTATGGCCAATAATGGGCAATTTGCAATTAATATTATAATTCTGCAGAAGGTCCTCAGAAAAGAACACTGCATATAAAAAATGTAGAAAAGAAGAAAGTACCTCTCTGAATAATTTTCAAGGAAATGGTACAATTTTCGAAGCAAAGTTTTTGGCAACAGCGAAGAACAGAACAATCACATCAGCCGAAGAATTTCCCTTGATGTGGAAGCAACTTTGATGTTCAGGTGGCTGTCAAATTTCTTCTGTATAATTTTTCTTTGTGGACAGAAACGAGTTGGGTTCCATCAGCAGATGACTCCTTTGAATTAAATCTAAGGCCTCCTTTTATTACCAACGGAATTCCCTCCAAATTCACTTGGAGAGAAACCTTTTGACGGATGAAAGACAAACACAGCTGTTTTCCCACAAAATATACAAAAAATATTTTTGAAATTCAAAGATTAAGAAGAACCCAACGAAGCGTCTGCTTTTCTGAGAGAAAGCAGACGATACCCGTTCAAGCAGCTTAAATTTCTTATAGTATAAGATTAATTCTTGCAAGAAAAAACTGCCTAACACGACACAGAAAAGAACGATTGAGCTCACATTTAAATTTTTGAAGATGAATCTTGACTGGAAAGCAAGAAGCCGGAATGGAGTTCCACAAGCATTTTACATTTGTTGATTGAATAAAGGGTTCGGTTCTATATTCTCACAGTAGAAAAACAGCAACTGGAAAAAGAAGGTCGGACGGTACTACGACCGGAGGATTCTTACAATTCTATTATTAGGTGATCATATGAGGTCTAGGGGTCCTACCAGGATTTATTATTGGTGTGCATAATCTAAAATAGAATGCAGATGACACCACATAGAGAGAAAAGGACTGGAGGACTCCTAAAGAATGTAGCAAA